ACACAGGGGCTAGGACTAGGCCTAATTGCGGTCTATAGTTCATATAAGGTTCATTATCGAACCTTACGTTCTAGTTTTTTATCTCGATATCCTCCGAAGATGAAATGATTACAACAGAGTCTTAGAACCAAACTCAAAACGCAGAATAAATCAGATAACTATTTTAATATAAAAAAGGGGGTCATATGGGGACTATCCCAAAAAGGAGGCTAATATTAATAATTTTTGGTAGGGAGATTGCAGCAAATTCGGTTGAAAACGCTCAAGAACCCCAAAATACCGAAAATTGGGGGTATCCTTATATGGGGGCTATCCGAAAAAATGGGCCTATATTCATAATTTTTTGTGGAGATATTTAATACCTATTAAGAACTCAAAATACTAAATTACAGCCAATTCGGCGGAAAAATACGATAAAAATACTGAAAATTAGGAGGTACCGTTAGATGGAGGCTACCAGAAAAAGTGGACCTATATTTATAATTTTTTGTGGAGACATTAAGTACCTAATGTAGCAAATTTCAGCGAATTCGGTTGAAAAATGCGCTCAAGAACCCCAAAATACCGAAAATTGGGGGGTACCCTTATATGGGAGCTATGCCTAAACGTGGACGTATAAAGCCCATCTTCGAACTTGACCTGCCTACCTATTTTTCAGAATATTATATAAGGACTTGCTTATAGACTTAAAACTGTCTGCTGTCTATAGAATAAATCGTGGGAATCCAATATCTAGAAAAGGCAACGAAAGGTTTTCATTTGGCCCGAAGAATATATGTTGATTTAAGAGGAACTGCTGAAAGACCTATGCCTAGAAGAAGATCTGCAGAGGACTTTCTGTCTGAATAACATAAGAACATCTTATGTCTACATTAGACCCACATCCTTCGGTCATTGAGGACCTGCAAAGACTCCATTGTTGTGAAGAGAGGGCCTTGAAGGGTCCCTGTATAGGCGTGGATTTTTTAAAAACATAATTTTGGAAGGACTGTATGGGCGTGGATTTTTTAAAAACATAATTTTGGAAGGACTGTATAGGCGTGGATTTTTTAAAAACATAATTTTGGAAGGACTGTATAGGCGTGGATTTTTTAAAAACATAATTTTGGAAGGACTGTATAGGCGTGGATTTTTTAAAAACATAATTTTGGAAGGACTGTATAGGCGTGGATTTTTTAAAAACATAATTTTGGAAGGACTGTATAGGCGTGGATTTTTTAAAAATTATTTTTTGGATTAACTAACTTCTAACTCGTAACAAAATTAAATTCAATATTTCTGTGTTGCCTTAAAGAAAAAACAACCATATTTTTGCAGCGGACATGTTGTGGCTTATTTCCCTTATACAATCCAAATAACAAGAAGAAGACCTAGGAAAAAACATGTGCTTAATATTTTTGTAACACATCCTTTTTAATATTTTTTCCTTGCTGCCGTTGCTGTCTTCCTTTTGGCCTTATTTTGTCTATTTGTGCTAACGTGGCCAATTCATTGTGCGATAGCAGCAGCAACTGACAGAATTTGCTCCTTCCGCCAATGGTCAATGTTTTTTTCGCTTTTTTATAACATCTTATATTTGTTGGTTTAGTTGTTGTTGTTATTGTTGCAAGGCATATCTCTTGTAGGTCTTGAGCAAAAGAGATTTCTGGTTTCCTTTTCCTTCAAAAACCATAATTGAATTTATCAAAAGCGGAAATGCCTGCTGTGTGTGCGAACGTATGTGTGTGTGTAAATTGAGCTTGTCAAGCTTTTGACTCCATTCATGTTAAGATATAGCATACGAACGTATGTATGTGTGCGAACATTCATTCATACGTGTCTATGTCGTTTGGATTTTGCTTTTGTACACATAAACTTAACATGTCAGAGGCTAAACTGTTTTTGTGTGGCATAAAACTGCTGCATCAATAATATGAAGAATAAGAAGAAGAATGGTATTTGTAACCCCTGTCACACCTCTAAACACATACATATGTGATATTTGGTCTTCAGTAGAACTCCCGTATCTATAGATGGTTTCTACTTTACTTTTTTATTTGATAGGTTAAATACTTGAAAAAAGTCCTCCTTTTTGTTTAAATGTAATTTTGACTTTTGCAACAATTTCATTTTTTTTTACAAATAATAATCAAAAATCCAACAAAAGTTCTTTGAGAGGTTAGGGGTTTGGGTGGGGTGGGGTGAATGCGAATCTATTTCAAGTCATTTGCAGCCCTTTTCAAATTTTGCTATTTGTATTCACAATTGTAAAGAGACCATAAAAAATGGGATTTCTTTTGAACAACTAACAAAGGATTTAAGTTTCTAATCCCATCTCTCTCAAAACAATGTTAAGCATGTGGGGAAAGGGGAGGGGCTCCATATTTAAGAAAACTTCTATGAAATATCACCTATAAAGAAAATACCACAGAAACAAAGTTTGACGATTCAAAGGAGAAGACGAAGAAAAAAAGGAACATAAAAGCAATAACAAAAGCAAATAATGCAAGTGTTAAAAATACTGTAAAATATCCACGAATTATAAGCTATAGATAATGTTGAAAATAGAGTTTGTGGAGGAAATTATAAAACAGTTACAGGTCATTGAAATGGGAAGGTGTGCGGAATAAATTGATCAAAAATCTATGCCTATAAAAAATGTATATTTAAAAAAATACACAACTACAGATAGATCTGGAAAAAATATATATTTTGAAAAATCCACGCCTGTTCATTATTTTAAAAAATCCACTCCTGTAGATAGTTAAAAACAATGAGCAAACACAACTACCACGGAACTCTAACTTTCTTCGGATTTTTATTCCGTGCCAGGGTATTATTTCTCGATATTTGCACCCTCTTGCCTGATTAGAGGTCAACAGCACCACTTCCTTACACGGACATGTTTTCCGAATATAACTAATATTCAGTACAGTCCTTCTAATTACTTGTACATATTCCCTTCACCGTGGGTTGTGTTATGATGTTCGGCTTATAATGGTGGCTTATAGATCGACTCGAAAAAACAAAAACAAAAAAGTTTTCGGTCCACTTCATCCCGAAATTGATATCTGATTATCATCGAAAATTATAGGCGTTGTACTTGACCATAACTGGAATCTCATGGAACATTTCAAAACGAACAGTGCTATATGTCCGCCTTCTAGTGTGGTAATGGGTTACTAAATAATATCTGAATACGTAAGCACCTGTAAATATTTGAGTGTAAATCCCACATCCGAGTACATACATTGCTATACAGGGAGAGATGAAAAAACTGCAACCAACTTCAGACTGCTGTCACTTCTAAACCAATCGTCCAGTGACAGCTCATTATATTGTTTACAACTTTCTATTGGCCACCAAAACTCAATCGCCAGCCATGGTGATGGTGTGGGCCGCCATAACAGCCGATGGTAGCTCATCCCTCGTATTTATCGAACACCATCAGAATAAATGCTGAATATTATCGCGAAAATATTCCGGACCAACTGGACCATCCTGAGTGCGATGGTGGACGCGCCACCCAAGAATGGTTACAAAATGAGGTTCCTCGCTTCATTTCCAGCGCACAATGGCCACCAACATCTGCTGATACCAATCCGTTGGACTATTCTTCTGTCTGGAGTATTTTGGAAAGCAACGTTGGCACTAAAAATACCAAAGTTTCGATTACCTCAAGCAAGCGCTTCGCCGGGAATGGGCCAAAATACCGCAGAGTAACAGTCGGGCAGCGTGTGATGGTTTCATTGGCCGTTTGAAGGCCATAATTGGCGCCAAAGGTGACCAATTCGAACAAATCTAAACTTATTCTAAAATTTGACGCTAATTCCGACATATTTGCTTTCATTCAATTAAATTTAAAAAAGTGTAAATATTCTGGCGCTTGACTTTGTTGCAGTTTTTTATCTCACCCTGTATTTGGTATCAATTTAAAGGCCAACCACTCCTCTTACATACACTATCAACTTCTCGGGTCTATATCCTTCTGGAGCAAATATATACGCTATAGAATACAAAAAGCAGACATGCATATTCTTTGACCCAATTCTCTTCTCCATGTAAAATTTCGCTATGTTCGGGTCATATTTGCGGCCTCTAGAGCGACCAGGAAAACCGACAAAAATTAAGTATTTGGTCCATATCATCCCCTAAATATTACCCGATCTTTACCAAAAACAATAGGGGTCTTTAATAGGGGTCTCCATCCCACATGCAAAATTTCGTGAATATTGGCAACATAGTTGTGTAGAGTATAAAAATCCAAGCCGTAAAAAAATATTCATCTACACTTAAAAATTATTCATCCGCGCCTTGAAAAATTACTCATCTACGCCTTGAAAAAATATTTTACAAAACTTAAGCTTAAAAAAATGTTAAAGAAATTTTTGTGTTTTAAAAATACGAAAATAAACCTACCTTCATAAAAATTATAAAAAAAATTCAAAAAACTTCTCTTAAAAAATTTTAAATTGTTTCTTTTTTATTTTTTATTTGAATTTATTCCTTAAGACAAAATCCTTTAGGGCCAATAAATAGTGTTAAAAGTATATCTTATATTCCTAAGCATTATTTAAAATTAATCAATAAAAATTTATCACTTAAACTTCCCAACCATAACCAATTTTAAACTACACATTAAAAATACGAGGGCAGTTCGGAAAGTTCTTAGCCTAGCACAAAAAGCGCGGTATAAACAGAAAAAAGTTAAGTGTTTTAGAAACTTCCATCTTTGTGATGAACACATGTTAAATTTTGTTTTGATCTGGCAACTCCTTCATATAGAAACAGGTGTAATTTGTAAATAAGCGTGGAATTTAGAAATATGTACGAGGGCAGTTTGGAAAGTTCCTAGCCTAGCACAAAATGCGTATTACTTTAAGAGGAGATTGAAGGCAATAGAAGATTCTTTGGGTGTTCTGTGTAATATTAAAAAATCATTTTAAAAATTATCGCTAAAAAGTATATCTAAGTACTTAAAATCGAACTTACAATTATCCTTATAACTTCCCTCCGCCTCCTTATGACATATTTCTCCGTTTCTCCCAATATTCTTCTAGCAGCTTTTCAAATTTATCATCCATATGTAGATAATATTCCGATTTAACTTCATCAGGATGATGTTGCTTGCGATGTTTTGGTATTTTTGTAACATCATCAAAGGTCTGCAGACAACAGGGACATGTGTACAAGTCGATTTTACGATGTTTCGCAGCCAAATGTTCGATAATAGCACGTTCATTATAATAAATGCCACTACAATCGGTACATTGAAATATATTTTTTGATCTTGCTGATCCCGTACACATATGTCGTATCGATGAAAAAGTACCATTACATTCATAACAATTATATACAGGGGTCAGATTTCGATGTTCAAACCAATAATGTTCATAAAGTTTGTGTAGTAATCGGATATTATTATTACACACACTGCACACGTACGTTGACATACCTCTACCGGTTGTAACAAGTTTAAGAGGTTTTTCGAGCGCATGTTTCTCTGAGTAGTGTTGTATCTTAGAATCGTACGATAAATTCCGATGGCCACATATTTTACAATCATATCGTGGATTGGCCGATTTACTTTTATAAAATATTCGATGTGATTTGTTACGTGATTGCATAATGATGTCAATTGTGGGCTCATCGGTAACCGAATCTAAATCGATAATCTCAATTGGAGTTTCTTGTGTTGCCATTGATGTTGTGGGTTGCAGACCCACAGGCTGTGGTACATTATTCTGGATTGTAGAACCGCCAGCTGTAATTTCTTCATTTATTATATCGAGAAATTGTTTATTTGATACAGGTATTGCAGGATTGAATCGATTTTCAGATTCAGTTGCTGATGATGATGCATTGTTGGAATGTTTTGTCGATTGTTGACCAATAGTTGTTGTATCGCCTTCTTCTCGTTTCATTGCGGTTATATCGAATAGTTTGAGTTGTGCTAATTGGATGGACGCTTCAAAGCTGTGGAATTCGGTAATTCTAAGCCAGCATTGGGAACATAAATTGCTCAAGTATTTGGCATCAAACATATTTACAATCTAAAAAGAAAAATAATTTAAAACAAATCTAGGCTTATAAAAATTAAAAAAATATATTTTTAAAAAATCCACGCTGATAAAAATAAAAAAAAATACAAACAAATCTTTCCATACCCCTTCCCTTTCTTATCATTGTTAATCGAAGAAAAAACAAATACGTAGTAGTATCGTGTACATTAACTTCTTAAAATTTATTTGACAAATAAACAAAGGGCACTCTAATTTAACTTAACTATCACTTAAATCCATTATTTCACTGGGAGCACTAGCAACACTTCCTTTAGATTTAGTATTCGATTTGTCAACACTGGATCGTTGTGGTGTTGATTCTCGCCACCTTGATCGATCTCTAACGCGAATCAAATCGCCAACATATTCTTTATAGGTATTATCACGTTTAGCGACATATTCATTTAATAACTTTTCAAATTCGTTATCCATATTCGCGTAGTATTTCTTCTTATCCTCAGTGGGGTGATGTTTTTTACGATGTCCGACAATTTCTTTGACAGCATTAAATTTTTGCTGGCAACACGGACAGGTGTACAATTCGATATGGCGATGCTGTGAGGCCAAATGTTCAACTACTTCACGTTCCGTTTCGAAGGCTTCTGCACAATAAAGACAATCGAAATCCTTCGATACCTTCGTAGTTAATTTCATTGTTTGTCGTTTTGTCGCAACTCGACACTCGTGTTTTGATCGGTTGTTGATAATTTGTTTACATGCCGTACATTGATGTACACTTTTAAGATTCCGGTGTTCAAACCAATAATGATGAAAATATGGCAAAATGTTTCCCGACATATGTTCACAGATATGACAGGGATATTTAAGGCGACCCTCCGAATCTTTCACCGGTTTGATTGGCTGCCCTTCAACACAATGCCTCTTGGCATAATGGATTACTTGATCCTTGTATGATGGATTCATGCAACCGCATATTTTACAATAGTATTCTACATGAGCCGGGTGTACTTTGGATATGTGAGTCCTGAGGCTAGTTCTCGAACCATATCGTCTGGTGCACAGATGACATTTGAATGCATTGGGATTCTTGTGCAGAAGAGCATGTTCCTTGGCTACGCGTAGTGCTATTAAGCGTGAACAACATACAATATACATAGGTTGTCCAGGATGTTGAAGGTCAAAGTGCTGTTCTAGCAGTGTCACATTTTGAAATATGGAATCGCATGATCCACACTTAATTTTCGGTAACCATTTATTGATGATGTCTTTTGCTGGCATTGATGGTCTCTCAATGATTGTGCTGGTGGTGGCTGGGCATTGTTTCCGAGGAGTCTGTTCACTGTCCGAATCTAGGTCTATTATCTCAATGTCTGTATCACTTGTTGCCGATGTTGATGATGATGATGGTGGCACTTCAGATAGTATATTAGCTTCTTGTTCGGTTTCCGTAGTGATCACGTCTTTCTCTTTAGAAGATTGTTGTTTGTTGCTGGAGATAGTTGCATTATCTACTTGCGCTTCATTTTCAATTATAGATTTTACATTAACTGTATCGCTGCTCTCTTGCTTTATGGGCTTTATATCGAACAGCTTGAGTTGTGCTAATTGTATGTCGGTTTCAAAGCTATGAAACTCGGAAATTGTACGCCAACATTGTGAACATAAACTGCTTAGGTATTTGGCCTCATACATATTGAGAATCTATAAAAGCAAAAGTGTTGTTGTTTTTATATTCTTTTTTTCGGAAATTAAAAATTAAAGCTAGTTTAATTTATGAGATGCCAACACCATGAAATATTGATGCTATAATGAATTTAAAGTATGAATGAATACCTTGTCTACTAGATGAATCGATCTGTCAGTCCATTATAATTTGTAATCTAACTGAATATCAAATTTATGAGTCGATCGTCACAAAATTTGTTGTGAGCTTTCGATTCTGCACGAGAAGGCAGCTATTGTACTAAATGAGTCGAAATACAACGTTCTAGAGATTTGTCCTGAGATTTAACGATGTAGATATAGAGACGACTGGAACCGTAGAAACCCTCCTCTAGACTGTCTGGCTTTTTATACAGACGGATCGAAGATGAAAGAAGGTACAGGGGCTGTGAAAGGCTAGACCTTGAGCTTACCCACAAATTGGATAGCAATTGTAGTGTTTTCCAAGCTGAAATTTTCGCGTCCAAATTTATACAAACATCGACACTATTTACTACCTATTTTTTACTTCTTTATTAGCTTCTTGTCTTCTCTATACCGTTTCTCTCCTACAGATCTCTAAATATCTATTCATGGATGATGATTGGATGCCGGAGAGGCATTTTTGTAAAAAGTATTTTATTCCTGGAGGATCTCAGGTCATAATCCTCACAATCCACAACCTTGAAAGTACCGAAAATCGGCAGATATTCTTTTTTTATTATGGTCTCATCAACTTGTTTTGAACCTGGTGATGATCGGTCAATATTTTGGTCAAACTGATCGACAATCAAATGGATCAAATACATTATTTTAGTTTAGTTTTTCTATTCATTCTACAAACCACTATTATTATCCGGACATTTCAAAAATTTTCAACTTTTGTCATGATCGATCAAATATTCGGCATGTTAAATTGACCACTAGAAATTTATGTGAACATTTCCCCAAAATTGTATTCTATGGATTACGTTTACTCTGGGAAGATATATTCCCATGAATTAATATAGTTGACTGTGGAATGTATATCAATTATATTGGTGTATGTTGTGGGGTATGGGAGGCATATTATTCGCACAGTAGTGCATGGCTCACCACACAGGTGAATTAAACCTTTCAATCGGATGGTATTCGTATATACATTATTGTCTTAATCCGTAGTGGGCGTCCTTTTTGAACCTTGTCGGTCAATATGTTGATCAAATGGATCTAGTTAAAAAAAGAACTAGTTAAAATTCCGATTTTGACTCAGCCGAAAGATATAAGTGCAGTGATAGTAGTGTAGGGTATCAACTATACTACTTGGCTTATGGAATTTTTACTACTTTGAATTGTATTTGTAAAAATACTGTTTCCAGAAAAAACGCATTTAACGTTTGAGAAGCACACTGATAAAGTTATTGAGATTTTAAATTGAAAATTTCAAGAGGCATTTTTGAATAAGTGTAGGCTTTACAAATATAAAATGAAATTTTTGAAACCGAGAATGGAGTCCGTTGCCTTAAACAATATTTTTTGATCTGTCTAAACTCATTTGTGATTTTCGGTATTTATAAATCTTAGGTACAGTTTATGATGAGTATGAAATATGTTCTAAAAATGAAACACTTTTAATTACATAGAAATTTATATTAAATTTGAAATTATTACTTACCTGAGGATGAAAATATTTACAGGTAATTTCATGCAGAACATTGGGTCGGCCATTTTCATCATACAGCGGTTTGCCATCCTCAAATGTATTTACACACAATCGGCAGATTTTAGTGTAGTCCATGGTGAAACTAAAAACAAAAAATAAAAAACAAATTAATATTTTTTTATAAGAAAAAATGATAGATTTTCCTAAAATACCAAAGTAGTATTTGCCACACCAAATACTGTTACCTCCTATACCTCCTATAAAATACAACATTAGACATTCTATCAGTGTTAGCAGTTAGGCTAACTGTCTGTCTGCATGCCTGGCTGTCTTCATCCTGCAAAAACACAGACCGAGTGACTGACTGAATGACTAGGTATCGGTAAGCAGCATGTGTTGATTGTATGGTGAAGTCGTTTCCTTTTTTCGATTTAGTTACAAGAGTTAGTGTGAGTGTGTGTTTAGTTCATGAAAATCGCATTACTTCCGTTAATGTTTTGGCACGTTTCTACTGCAAAAGTATGCGCATAAATCAGACGACAAACTCAACTCAAACTTAACTGATGTGAACATAAGCCTTCATATGGTTACATTAGCACACAAATCGACAAAAAAGAATGTTTTTTATCCACACATAGCCCTGCAACATATAAAAACAAATGAGCGAACATAGAAACGATATTGGCAGTAGAAACTTCACTTCAATAGTTTTATGGTTGTGGCTTCAGTAGTGCGATAGGACGAAATTTGGAGTTACATTTTAACAGCTGTGTGCAACATGGAATTTTTATTTTTCTTTCATGTTGTGTAGCACAGAACGAACACACAACAGTTTTTCGGGTTTCAGAGTATAAAACAAAAAAAAGACTAGTGAAGAATTACTGCTAGTGTGGTCTTCTCTTCGTACTTTAGTGGGCCTATATTGGAAATTCGTTCGTCGTTTCAATATTTAACCATAGAAGGTGTTGATTATTCTTGCAACGTTCAACGAATGCCGTATTGAAAAGGGTTTTTCTTTACTACTGCTAGTCCTACCATATATGGGGTTTATGCTGCATTCCCGCGCGCACACACACACCGAGAAATATATGCGTACATGTACATGTTCCTAGCAAGATGTTCCATCAAGAATTGTCAGAAGTGTCATGCATTTGCAGTAGACGAAGTGTATGTAACGGAAAATTGTCTTAAAAACTCAATTTAATAATTGCTTGAAGTACAAACTATGTTGTGTTCGATCAGACCAAGGAACCGAAGAGGTTTTTAAACCACCAATGCAAAATTGCTGCTAGTTAGCATAGAAAATACGTTCAGGGCCGTTAGAAAATCTGAAATCGGTCATTAAGTTGCCAAAAGTGATCAGGACAATTTTATCAGAGCTATGTAAATTGTACATCTATATTAAAACATTGATGCGAGGATGTCATTGACCCTCATAGAATCCGAAAATTCAAATTATCACACTCCAATTAAGACATTTGTTACATAAATTACTTGTTGTGAGATTTTGTAACCCATTGGACGGTCTGAGAAACTATACCGACTAGCTGAAGGCCTTCGATTTTGGTTTTCAGGCGAGATGAAGCGGGATAAGTATTTATAGACGTGCTTAGGGCCTGATAGTCTTTATGGATAAACGGAAGGCCTGTTAATCTTTATACTTAAACTGAAAGCCTGGAAATTATTATAGAAGAACTGACTGTCTAGGAATCTTTAGTGGACATGCTGAAGGTCTATACGTCTTTATACACGAACTGGAGGTTTGAGAGCCTTTCTGAAGGTTTGAAAGTCTTTTTAGACGTACTGAAGGCCAGGCCAGTGAAGTTTCGGGGTCTTTATAGACAAGCGTGGGAGTCTTTATAGACAAGTTGAATTTTTAATAGAATTGAAAGATTGACCGTTTTTTTAGACGAGGTGAAAGCCTGGAAAGATACGAAGACCTTGGAAGTCTATAAAAGGATTATGTTCTTTAGTAGCCGTGGTGAAGTCCTGATTACCTATATAGATGAGTAGAAAGCAGAGGAAGAATGTGTAGGCGTCATGAAGGCTTGGGAGTATTTAAACACGAACTAAAGTCCTGGAGGGTTTATAGACGTACTGAAGGCCAGGGATTGAAAGTCTGAGATTGATGGGGATAGATGAGCTGAAGACTTGGTAGTATTTGTAGACGATCTTAAGCACTGGTAGTCTTTTTTTTAACCCACTGAAGTTCTGTGAGTCATTATAGACGAGCTGAAGTCCTTGTTGCCTTTGCATACTGGGAGTTTTATAAACACACTAAAGTCCTGAGAGTCTTTGTAGACCAGCAAAAGGACCGGTAGTTTTATAAACGCACCTGAGAGTCTTTATATAGTTTACACACGAACTGAAGGCCTGGGCGTCTTTATAGACGCACAGAAGGGCAGGGTGAAGGTCAGAAAGTGTTTATAGATAAGCTGAATACTTGGTAGTCTTTGTAGACGAGCTGAAGGACTAGTAGTCTTTATAAACGCACTGAAGAAGCCTTGAGGCCTTCATAGACAAGCTGAAGGATTATCACTCTTTGTAGACGAACAGGAGTGCAGTCTTTGTGGGTGAACTGAAGGCCTGAGTATCTTTATAGACGCACTGAAACATGAATAGAAGATTTGGGAGTCTTTGTAAAGGAGCTAAAGACCTGAAAGTCTTTATGGGCCGACAGAAGGTCTGGGTGTTTTAATATATAGGCTGCAGTCTTGGAAGTCTGAGAACAGAAAATTTGGCAGCTGTACACCTGGAAGTGTTTATGAACGAGCTGAAAGTCAGATAATCTTTATAGAGGTTCTAAATTCCTGATATCCTTTTTAAATGAGCTGTTGGATAAGTTTACCTCATGATGCGACGATATCTTTGATCCAATTAGGGCCCAAATGTCAAATTACCGCACTTCAATTGGAAACTGCGCAAATGAGGAACATATAAGCCAAATTCAATGTAATCAATTTGAAAAATGCTGAATATACTTTTGAAAGGAACAGATATTCTGGGTGAAGGCCTTCGGTTGGATATTTAGAAATATTTCCTATGGCAGATGCCAACTCTAGATACACCACCGAAAATATTTTTGAATATAAAATATGTTATGGTTGAAAGCCAGCCTTTCATGGAAAATCCTTTGCTCGCTTATATGTGGTATTATTCGTAGTCAGGACCTTAATCGCTAGTATTATCATGACCACTAGAGATACATATACAAATAACAAACTACAAAGTCCACGGCCCGGCCTTAAACATGACTTAAGTTAATATCTTTATAGACGGTCGGTCCTGAATAATTCCAGCCCTTATCTATA